TTTATAAAGAATTTTATACTTGCAAGTCAATCTTACAATATATATTGGTAAGTCCTTAAAATTAGAAATTTGTAAAAAAAAAGTTGAAACCCAAAATAATTAATCCGCAATTGTTACAACATCGGCTCTTCGGATGAGTAATTTGTGCGCAATGGATAAGCCCTATGTGAAAATCATTCGTGTAGATAATCACCCTGACTTTCTAATCAACCGAATCATCCCGACATATTGTAATATTTAAAATAAGATAAATATCTTGCTATATTTATCCTTCATCTTACTAAAGTTGTGGTGGAATGGTAAGTACTTCTTCATTCTCAATCAAGAGATTTCGGGTTCGAATCCTCCTTGGATACGGAGTCACCTTTGTTAAAGAGCTTACTTCTCAACACAAATTCAAACCTAGTTGGCTACAATGTGGATATCGCAATCGACACCAAATAGAAATTAAAAAAATGATTTAATGATGTAAGATATATATTTTGGTCCGATAGTATATATAAGTCAAACCCTATAAGCAACTTAGATTAACAACATTACTGAATCAGCCGATGGTCATGATTTTGCTTCCCTAGACACCAACACACACTTTAATCTTTATGCTGCAAAGTAGAGTTTTTAATCAAATGTAAAGTAAAATAAAAAGTGGACATTTTTAAATAATAAAAAAATACAATTGGTGTAAGAGAACAAGAAACACTATTTTTTACTGTTAACTCGACATTTAATTAACATGTTGGCTTTACAGTTTAACCTGGTACTGTGTTGGCTCGTAGCCGGCAGGTTAAGCCGTGGTGGGTTGACAGCTAATCATTAAAAAAAAATACTCACTCCGTCTTATTTTATGTGAGGTAGTTTGATTCGATACGAAGTTTAAGAAAGAAAAGAAGACTTTTAAAATTTATGGTCCAAAATGAATAATAAAAATTTGTGTGACTATAAATTATTTCATTAAGGATAAAATAGATATTTTATAATTAAATTGCTACTTAATATAGAAATATATCATTTTTTTTTAAATTGATTAAAAATAAAAGTAAATCACATAAATTGAAACTGAGGAATATTGTTACTGCTTTTTCCGGCTTGACCTGCTAAGTTGACTCCGACAGTCGAACTAGGCAAGGCTACTCTTTTTTAAATTTTATTTTATTCACTTCACTTTTTGTGGCCTTGAGAAAAAACAATCACTTCAATATACTTGGGCTTAATATTCCGACACGATTAAAGAAAGAAAAATCGTATAAAATAATAAATTTTTAATTCAAATTAAATGATATAATTACAGTTTGATCTAAGTGTAATTCATAGTAAATAATTGGCATTCGCTTCTCTCCCTGAATTTCTCATTTGCCACTCTCCAGATCTCGCTCGGCAGTCTCTCCCTCGCCTCTCTCACTTTATACAAATACAAATGTATAAAATGTGTTTGTATAAAGAGAGAGAAAACTGTATATATACATATCTTTTCATTCGCCTCTCTCCAGAGAATCTCGCTCGTCTCTCTCACTTTATACAAATACAAATGTATAAATTGCGTTTGCGTTTGTATAAAGTGCGCGAAAATTATATATACAAATACATATATTTTCGTCCTATACACTTATAATTATACAAATATAAATATTCTCCTGCCCAGTTTTCTTTTGTCTTTCTCGCTTTATACAAACACAAATTATACAATTGGTTCTTTTGTATATGTATACCGAAACAAATTATATAATTGATTTTTTTGTATATATATATATATATCGAAATATACATATTAATAGCCATAGCAAATATAAAGTTTGTTATGGAACGCAATTATACAAACTATAGCTATAACATACAAATATAATTTTTATGTTTACTAAACCTAAAATTTACTCATTAAAGAATGTGGTACAACGTGGATGAGATTGTTCCTTCTTTAACAAGAAGTTTTGGGTTTGGGCATTAGATTTGAAAAGTCTTTGATAGGAAGAGTTATCCCCCGAATGGGGCTCTACCTGTACGAATTTTGAATTAGTCAAACTCTAATACCGATTGAAAAATAAAAATACTCCTCCGCGATTTTTTCGATTTTTAACAACTCCTTATAATTTATTAAACTGTTTTGCCTCAGTGATAAAAGGAGAAGGTGCTAGCCAGCTAAGCTGGTCAGAGAGGATAATCATCCAAGTAATTTATAAAACCACTCAAATTTGTAGGGTCACTTGTCCTAACAAAAAAACTAACTATTTTGTAATGAAAGTAAATTTTAGACTTGTCAAAAAATAACTGTTTAAAAATATATTTATAGTAAAAAGATTTTTTTTTATTAATATAATCATAAAATAAAAAAGAAATAAAATCCAACAAGTTTGTCATGTGCTTTTCATGTGCCATACTTTAGCACATAAATTCTAGGCATAATACATAAATATGACCATTAACTTGGTGTCAATTGACAACTATGATCTTTAACTTTGGATGTGCACAAGTAGACACTTAAATTTATATAAAATTGAGCAAATGAACACATTCATCCTACGTGGCACCCTACATGACAATTTTGTATCCTACATGTCATCCTACGTGTATTATGCCATGTAGAACACTTGTGTCTACTTGTTTAATTTTATACAAATTTAAATGTCTACTTGTGTACATTCAAAATTGGAGGGCATAGTTATTCGCTGAAGCCAAGTTAAAGATCATGTTTATGTATTATGCCTAAATTCTATTGTTTTGATTAGATTGAAGAAGTGTTACCTATCGTTTTATAACATACATATTACATTATTTGATAACTATAACATTTAAATAAATTATATTATTTTAATAGTTATATAATGTAATATATTAATAATATTTTCAATCATAGTATGATATGGGATGAAAATAGATTTTAAAGGATAAAATAAATTTTATTAGATAACAAGCAAAGGAAAAAATGAAAAGAAGAAAAATAGTAATGACATAATCACACCAGATTATTGTTATCGGTAAAAAACTTTTAACAGAATGATAAATTAAATAATATAATATAATATACTCCCTCCGTCCCATTTTATGTGGCAACATTTGACCGGGCACGGAGTTTAAGAAATAAATGAAGACTTTGAAATGTTTACCAAATTGCCCTTTAAAAAGTAGACTCACTTTTCTCTCTCCTCATAAATGTATTGGAGTATTATTTTAAGATTAAGTGGGACCAATAAGGATAAAAAAAGAATTGTACATTTAAATACTTTCCATATAAGGAAATGTGACATTCTTTTTGGGACTGACCAAAAAGGAAATGTTGCCACATAAAATGGGACGGAGGGAGTAATAAAATTGCCCATCATAATATTGTAACAGTAGGTAGCATTCAACTTTGGTCTTATCCTTTAACATGTCCTGTCTCTATGCAGTGCAATTTTGTATCACTAAACTTACTACTACTTTTCTTGTTTATTTTTTTTTTCTCAGTGTTGTCAATTGTAGAATAAGTTAAGGTCCACCACATTTTGATGCTCATTATTAATTACAAGAAAATTCTAATGGTCCGATGATTAATCATTAATTTGGCTGAAACTTTATCATGTCTTACATAAATTGTGACCAAATAATGTTTCACTCCTATTTCAAGGAGTACTGATATTCTTGATTATATATTTCAAATTTCAATTCCGCGAATTAAAAGAAAAATTGGTAGAGCATTTTTTCTTTAGTAAATTTTATGTTTGCATAAATATGAATTAGTCAAATCAATGAATACTAATAAAAAAAATTATTGTTGCACTTCTCATGTATGTCATGTCATTATATAGTGGTTTCTTTTTTAATTTGTCACAAAAAAATGTCATTGTTTATAATTAGAAATAACTTTACTTTGAAATTCTTTTTTTTTACCTTTAATGAAATGATTTTTAATCACATTTAAGGTTAATTTGTTTTAAATCAGAAATTTTAATTTTTTTTAATTTCTTAAATTTTATGTTAAGTCAGGCAGTACGGAAGGAATATTTTTCTAGTGGAAATAACTTGTATCCAATTAGCAAATGACAAGCATCTAGCCCCAGCTTGAAGCTTATCTTTAAGCCTATGATAAGAACTTTCAAATCATGTTTCTTTTTTTCATGCTTTATGTGAGTGCGCACATAATGACAATGATCCCATCTAATCAAGATTTTTTATTTCCTTCGTGTATTTTTGTATCTAATCAAATGCCTTTTCTGTTTTAATTACCGACTTAACTTTCGAACTAAATGAAATGAAATGAAATTTAGCCACTGTTAATGGATAATTTTATTAGACAACATTTATTTTCCTAAATCCAAATTAATAGTTTTCACCCCCCAACTAACATATTGGTGTTGCTTCACATATAAGAAAGATATTAAACATATAAGCAAATGGTCGATATGTCCGAGTGGTTAAGGAGACAGACTCGAAATCTGTTGGGCTTTGCCTGCGCAGGTTCGAATCCTGCTGTCGACGCTTTTTTTCCATCTGTAGAACTCATTGAAGGGTCAATAGTGTTCCCGCAAGGTACTCAACCACTTGAGCTAGTCTCACATATCTCGATAACTTAATGAAGAACTGTGTTTTTCTGTTTATAGGAGGGAGTTCACCAGTAATCGACTAATCACACTGTTTCGTGGTTGGGATGTAAAACATATACAACTTAATTAACAAAGTTGTGCTCTCTGTATTAGACATCACAAAAAGTTGCCAAAATGAATTCTTTTTAAGTAACTAATCCTTTCAAGTTCTGGATTCCTACTGATAATAAGATAGGTTTTATTTGTTTTTTTCGTTCGTCTTCTATGTGGGTATTTGAAATTATCCTGATCACAGGCGGAGCCAGCTTGGGCTAGATGTTTCGGCTGGCTAGTTCTTGTGTTTAGTTTTTCAAATTTTAAACTCATTCACCGACTCTGCCATTACTATCTATGATGAATGATGACAATGTTCGACTTGGCAATCTTTTTCGATATAATAGAATCGAAGCAAACAACAATGTATACTTACTAGAACTACAATAAGATGAAGTAAACAAAATCTGTGAATGTTTCTCCTAAACTAATCGCGACGATCTCTGTAATTGTTGATCAACTTCATCAGCCATTTCTTCTTTACCAAATCTCTTAAACCCTCTCCTTAAAACCTTAGCTACATATTCATCAATCTCAAATCTAGAACCCCATCCACTCTTTTTCATCAACTCATAAACCCTAACAGTAGATTCAACCTGTTCACCTTCAACCAACGCCCTCACCAACCTTACCAGCGACTTATCATCACATTCAATCGTTCCCACTTTCTCCAAATCACAAATCAATTCATCGATATGTTCAGCAAAACCCGTCCGGGTCAAAGCTAAGACCATATCAGCATAAAGCCCCAAATCAGGGACATCACATTCCGATTGAACGGCTGGGAATACTTTGAGGGCCAAATCGCAAAGGTCTTGTCGTAGAAGTTCTTTGTAGGCAGCAATTAGATCTGTTTTGATGAGACGATTGAGGGTTTTTGAGACTTGAGCTTCGATTTGGGAAGGGTCAGTTCTTTGAGCTCGTTTTAGAGCTTGAATCGCTTGGATTGCTTCGATGCTTAGTATTCGCCCTTTGACTAGAGGTCCACGGTTGCTTCGTGGACCGCATCGCACTGAGATTTTTCTTCTGGTGGTTGATGTTAGTGGTGGAAGAGTTACTGAAAAATGTTGTAAGGTGAATTTGAGGGTTGTAGATAGAGAGGACGCCATGAATGGTGGATTTGAGTTCCACTCGTAGAAGATAAGAAACGGGTCTTCATAAAATCAACCCGTATTTGTTTTTGCCTGGGTAGGTTTTTTCTTTACAGTTTGGTCCGCAAAGTTTTAATAACTTGCAATTACACACTCAACTTTATGTTTATTCAAGTTCGATTTGTGTCATAACTATATAATAATAATACGAATATTGTTTATGGTCGAATGCATGTTTATATCAATACGAAAAAATGTTATTTCGATAACACCAGAATAGATTCGAGGTTACTTTTATTAAAAGATAAAGATTAATTTTTTTTACGTTAAATACCAAATAGTGAATAATATATAACAATTGATGATATATAATTGTTGTTGATGGTGGATTGACAATAGTTTCAATGTTTGTTGTGACAATGCTGATTGATGATGATACTTATGAGTAATGGATAATGGAGGAATAATTAACTGTGGTGATTAACAGTAAAGAGGGGTGAGTATATGATATAAAAATTTAATTCGATAATTTTGTTGTTTAAAAATATTATACCATTATCATATTAAATTATTTGGTATAGATTAGTATTTTTTGAGTTTTGTTTAGTATTTTTCAATATGATGAATTAATAATCATAATTTATTCAATTTTTATTTATATATGCTTATATAATTGAGAATTACGATATCAATTTTATTAAACTAACTCTTTACATATACAATAATATTAAAAAAAGAAAAGAAAAAAGGTACAAATAATGTCCTTCATTAATGAACTATATAAAAATAACATTTCAATCAAAATTCCCATAGCCAAAATTTCAAAATGTTAATAATAATAGTCGATCCCCTGTTAGATACAAAATGATATTAAATGAGATGCAATATGTAGCTTTGTACTAATATTATCATATATATTTAGAGGTCGTTTGATATAATATATTAGCAAATTATAATGCATATATATTAATTTTGTATATTACTAAATATCTTATTTGATATACATTGTTATGTTATGTTATGTATAACTAATGGACTCTATTGTTTGTGTATTACCCTTTCCCCATAAGAATAACATTTTGTAAATTAACCGCCAGAATTAGTCTGTGAAATTGCCGTCTGGAACCGCCAGCTGAGATTCTCAATTTTTCCGGGACCATTGAAATTCAGGTGAAATTGTGTTGTGGTAATAGAAGATGGATGGACTAACCCTAGTTTCATCAGCATCCTCGTCCACCGGTGATCTACAGCCACAAGAAGATGCTTGGCTCACCACCTACTATAAGGTCTCTTGCTTCATCTCATCAGGTGTACATCACTATCTTCGTTTTAATTTTTTTATCCATCTTCCTTTTCTGCACGTTATATTAAGTTTTAGTTAAGTCACATCCAATGAGTTCAACTCAATGCTGTGAGTGATGATAAGGTTAAGGCTGACTAGCGAATTCTAGTTTTGACTTTTGTATGTTTTTGCAAGGGTTGAAAAGGTACTCAGAATTGGTGTTAATGTTCTCGTTGTAATGCTAATGTATTGCTAGTTTGCTTTGAACTAGCTGCAATATAATCAGCTAAAAGGAAAGACATATTATGTGGGAATAGACTGCGGCATTCTATAAAAACCTTTAATGACTATGTAGCGTGTGTTTCGTTGTAGTAATTGTACTTATTTATAGCTCATTTAATTATTATTTTTGATAACCGTGTGTCCGGGCCAACTTGTGTGCATGCCAACTAATTCATGAAACCTATTATCTCCCATCAGCACAGTTAACTCTGTCTATCAAGGCTTGGATGGGAAGAAATCACCTAATGTTTTTGCATAGTTGAATATGAGGCTTCATGGTTCTTAACCTACTTTGTTATGGAAAATTTTGTTATCTACATGTATAAAGGTTTTGAAAAAAAAAAATGTTGAAGTGTTCCCCTTGTCTTGTATCATTTCTGGGGTCCCAGGATGGGTGAGAGATGAATTAAGGAGGAGTATGTTTGATGTATTAGTAACTGACTTTTATCTCCCACTAATATGTTTCCATTACTTGCTTGTTTTCACAGTCTGCCATTCCAGCTTCAATATCAAGAGTTAATCAGGTAGATGCAGCAAGATTGGACATTGAAATGTCGGCAATGCTAAAGGGACAGTTGGTCAAGGTTTTCTCTTTGATGAAGGTACATGTAGTGCAACTTTCTAACTTACCAGAGAATTCACCTCTCATTATTTGTGATCTGATAATAATTTGATATACATTTAATTTCTTTTTGTTTCTTCCCTTTGGGGTTAGCCAGGAATGCTATTTCAATATGAGCCAGAACTTGATGCTTTCTTGGAGTTCCTTATCTGGCGTTTTTCTATCTGGGTTGATAAAGCCTACACTGGTAATGCTCTAATGAATTTGAGGTATAGAGATGAACGTGCGGTTGAAGTGAGAGGAAAGGTTAGATATCGTCTCTTAATTAATCCTTTTATCACTTTGTGTAAGTTGCAGCTAACAAACGCTTCTTTATTTACTGTTCAAAACGAAAAAAGTTGCTCTTATAAAAATCCTTTTTTTCTATATTAATCAGTTGGATGCTATGTTGTTACTTGCACTAATTTCACTATTTTCTTCAATTGCTGGTGTTGAAGTTGTTCAAATTTGGGACATTTAATGTTTCTAGGTCTTGGGAATTGGGACGTGGAGAGAATAGTTGTTGAAAAACTTATTAAATGCTTAAGGTTAACGTTCAGGCATTCACTTTGATTTGAGGCTGAGTGCATGGTTGATAGCATGAATTAGAACTTTTTACTTATTTAAAAGAGTTCCATTTCATGCATTCAGCCCTTTTTACCAGATAATGGTTCCACCTCACTTGTAACAGATTTTCTTCTTCCATGGTCAGATCTGAAAACATTCAAGTCCACATTCATTACCATCCATGGATTCGCTCTCATAGATTACTTAAGATAGATTGAGATATGTGAGATCTGTAAATTTTTACTTTTATATAAATGCTCTAATATTCAGTAATTTTGAGAAGTCCAAATAGTATTTATTAAGTGTATAATATGAGGGACTTGAGTGATTGGCTTGAAAATCTTGCTCGTTTAATTTGTACGTGAAGTTGCTAAGGTTGACAGCTTGACTTAATTGAATTTCACTTTTGATCTTGTGCCTCTTGCATCAGCATTCATGATACCAACCACAGTTTTGCTTTTCGGCATATGTTAGTTCGAAAAGGATTGGAGGGACCTGGTCTTACTGTTGCTCAGAAGATATGGTACTGTGTCGCTACTGTTGGTGGGCAATATATGTTGGCCCGTCTTTAATCATTTTCTGCTTTTCGAAGATGGGGCAACTCTGAGCAGGTATAGTTCTCTTCGACTCTTATCTCACTTGTTCGTTTGCATGCATGCTCGAGTAGAAGTTACTCATTACTGCTCTATATATTGAGATAAGTAGAAGTAATATGTCATGCATTTGGTATAATGTAATTTAGTAGATCTTCCCTTTGAAGGAACGCAGAGCTCATTTTAGAACTATTTGATGATATTGGGGAAGCATGAAGGCTCAATGTCAAAAAGAGGTTAACTTTTTCCTGCTTCTGAGGCTACATAAATTTGAAATGGTTCAATTTTGAATCTTTTGTTGATATGTTGTCTATTCAAATTTGGTCATCCAAAATAGAATTGTTGCAGTCGTAATTTTATGCTACAAATTTGAACAGGTAAAATAGTTACTTGCAAGTGTCAATTGTACGATGAAACATTGACTTGTTAATCTTGTGGCTTCTTCAGAGTTCTATGGCGCGCCAAGCATGGTTGTTAATACAACGGATTGAAGGGATCTATAAAGCAGCCTCTTTTAGTAATCTACTTCTCTTTCTTTACAGGAAGGTATATCTCTGACTGTAATTCTTATTTCTTTCGAAAGCATGCTCGGAAATTTTTGGCATTTCTCTCTGGTTGCACATTCCTTTCGTATTTCTTAAAAAGATGTATGACATGACCACCAAATAAAAGAAAATAAAGGATAGACGTACTCCTATAGCATACAGCTGCATTATGCACAATACTGATTTAACCATTTAATAAAGAAAATGATGAAGTTATGCTACTTGAATCAGTGATCATCTCTTATTATTTCATCAAAAAAGATCATCTCTTACTCTCTTATTGCATTGTCTAGTGGCTAGCTGACTGCGGAGAGTAGTTCTTAATTGGTTTGGGGTGCATTGGGTGATTCCAAGCACAGTGAAGGAGGCATTGCATAGCTGGGCTTACAGGTGGGGGAAGAGAAGTCCTATGGCATAAAAGAGATGTAAATTGCAAAATAGTCTTTTGTTTCTAGTTTTCATTTGGTGTTTCCTTGAGACCCCAATTTTTTTCTGAAGATTGGGTCTCCTTTTTTGAGAATCATATTTTGATGTAGGTTCTCTCTTTTGGTACACGGCTTGTATATGGGGTTTTCCTCCAATTGTTAATATAATTATTTACCTAACAAAAAGAAAATCAGTGCACTAGCTTAGCAATGGATATGCGTGTAACAAAAGCAGAGCTGCAAGGCTGTGTGGTGCTTTATCATCTGTGTTTGCTGGATTGTGTTATTGGCTGCCTACTAAGTCGAGCCAAGTTTTTGGTTAAAAATTGCTGGACATTTTTGAAATTGCTTTGTCCTATGAAACCAAATATTTTTTTCTGGGACGGCTTTGTTGTCCAGGAACTGTTAGAGACAGAATATTGAGGTGATTCCACAATAACAATAAGTTAATGATGATGTTCCAAAGCATTCTTTACCTCACATAGAGGAAAACGTAAAATTGCACAAAATAGAAAACAAAATAAAAAGGTAAAAGAAGACTTTAAGTTAGAAAATTTAGTGACATTCTTGGTAGAAGGGTTCCATGCATAGGCTGATTGCTGTGAGGGTCCTGTACATGTGACCTTTTAATAAGGGTTGAACTGTTGAGCGTGTTCCCTGCATGTGCTGACTTCTATGAGTGTTCTGTACATTTGATCTTTAGATTGACTGGAATTAAAAAAATATAATACTGAAGTTAGAAAATGTACCCATGGATTTGATCTTGTAATTAAAGCATAATGCTTGATGTGTGGTAAGGCGCGCTGCGCACATCACGGTTTTGGGCCCTGCCGCAGACAAAAGCATGGTATTTAAGTAGAGGGTAGAAAACCTAGATGCATTACTGGTAGCAGGGCTTAACTGTTGAGCATACCCGGTCATTGACTGCTGTAAGGATACTGTTCATGAGTGATGAGACCATTTGAAAATGGTTTGACTGCTACAAGTGTCCTGTACATATAGCTCTCAGATTGATAGGATTTAAGAATATCACTTGCTGTGTATTTTGGGATTTACTGGTTACTCTACATGTATCAATGACATGCAGGTATAGGAATCTCATTGAAAGAGCTTTAAGAGCAAGACTCGTTTATGGCAGCCCAAATACGAACAGAGCCATGAGCTTTGAGTACATGAATCGCCAATTGGTGTGGCATGAATTCTCGGTAATTTTCCATCCATTAGCAGAGTGTTGCAGATTTTATATGGTCATTCCCGAAGAGGGGAATATTGATGACAAATTATCTATCTGTGTCTGCAATTTAGCTATCAATCATCTGTCAGAAAGAGGTCCTTCACCTTACAAAAAAAAGGGAAAGGGCCCAGAAAGAACATCCCTTTGCTTTTGTACATGCTGCCAAAGGGCTAACAGATCTTGTTTTCCAACTTGTGTCAGCCTTCTTTGTTGGCGGGTATGGGGATGGTGATGGAGCTCGAAGTTGGTCTTTTGCAGTAAAAGCTTATAGTCAATTTGACGAGTGCATCTGTTTTAGCAAACAATATGGATGGAAGTACGTTCTTTTGTTATCTTTTTCAAAAAACTGAATGGAAGTACATTATCAACTGTTCTAATATGCAGGAATTGCTGCTCTTGCTTCTTCCCCTTCTCAATTCATCATCCATCAAGAATTTTCTTCGTCCATTCTCAAAGGATAAATCTTCAGATTCTTCAGTGGATGACACTTTGTGCCCAATCTGTCAAGGAAAGCCAACCATTCCATTTTTAGCTATTCCTTGTCAGCACAGGTGCATGTATTGCATGCTTACAATTTTACAGTAGAATGGCGATACAGTGTATCTTTCAAATGTTCATGCATTTGGTAAGAACTCTATTATATCAAAACTTAATCAAAGTATGAATTGAAGTTTAAAAGAATTAGTTGAATTCAATGACATTGCAGAATAACAATCTTATGCTTATGTAGGCATATTGTATATATGGAGGCGTGGGCTGTACATAGGTGTAATTTTATAGATTGCAAGCTATATAAAACACTTCAGGGCTGTTTAGAAAAATATTTTATATTTTCAGAGCCTCACATCCTCCTGTATTTTTTAAATGAACTTCACATCCAGTGTTATATAAACAACCATGGCATCAAATTTTAGAGCTAGCTAAAATTTTAATACAAGAAGTGAAACTAGAAAGAACTTTACCTTACCAATTAATTTTCAAAAAGAGTCAGGACTTTACCTAAGAAATGGATGATGGAAAAAATGGCACATCGGGATAGATCTGATACCTATAAGAACTACCTAGTATAACTAAGTAGTCGCTTACAAACTAAGTTTAGACGAAGTAACTCGAATATCTATGGTAGTCAGTCAACTATTAAGACATTGTATCTGTAGATATTGCAGAGGGGATATTTTACTTGTGCGTTCATCTTGTCATCCATTTGGGTTGACGTCATTCATGTGTCGATTTATTGCTTTAGTGTTAGTAACTGTTGTTCATGTGAGTTTTATGTATCTTCATCACTATACAGCTACTGTTACTACTGTCTTCAAACACGGTGCTCCAGTGCTCCGTCTTTTTGTTTCCCCCGATGTGGTGATCGATTGCTGCTTTGCAACGACATGGTGGTTCGGTCCACAACATTAGTCAGATACAATAATTCTCTTGAAAGGTGAAATGAAATGACGGGAAAGGCAAGCTTCAGTCAAACTATGGATCAAAAGTTGCCCAAAGATAACATAGAAATTGAACTAGGAATCAAGATTCCTTGATAAAGCAACTTCTTCTGCTTTATTGAGTGCATTCATTTGTTAAAGTTTCTTGTCTTTTTTAATGTAGCTTTACTTTCCTATAATCTCATTTATATGTCTATCTTGAAGATTCTCTTAAAAGTTTGATCAGTCACAGGTCACAATTGATTCAATATTTTTACCAGATGGCTCAAGCAGTCCCTTTTTTTTAGCTTTGTTCAGGGTAACTTCCTAGTTAAACGAAACAGTGGAAAAGAAAGGTAAGAACAATCCTTCACTTCCTTATAGTTTCAAATTGCAAGCCAGTTTGCTGTGTTTTGAATCTGCATGTAAAGTTGCCAAGTGATGTGCAGGTTATAATACTTTTATTTTAACTGAGAATTGGCAGCTAAATTTACCAGTTGCTGTTACTGTAGCGAATGTTTGTAGCAGTTGTAATTTTTGAGCAACAAAAGTTCATCATAACGTATGATTTCGTGGGGACTTGTAGTCCACTAATCCTTATCTTTTTGTTTTTTTTGGCCTCCTCTTTCCATGGCCTTGTAGGTGAATGAATTGTAGAAAATTATGCTCAATGACCTTGAAATGAGTGATCGTGAACTTTTGACCCTGCTCGTCCCATTGACAAACTTTCAAGATAAAATGTGAAATTTGAAGTTTTGCCCATGGGAAAAGTGAGGTCCAAAGTACAAAACCGCCTACTTCCAAGGCTGTAAATCATCCAATGAATTGCATTGAAGGTAAGATCTTTCTCTTTCAGCATCATAATTCCTTTGTCCTCCCTTTTTAGGTTGGGTCTACATGGTCAAAAAAGCTCAAATAAAAACAACACCTGTCCTTGAAAATATATATAGCAGTCTGAGCTCGAACGCAAGTTAAGATAAAAAGGGTGCTTTAATTATTGGAATTATGTTATAGGTTCAATTAGACTCATGATTGGATCTGAATTTGTCTTACCTGCTATAGTTACTAGGACCAATATTTGAAATCATCAATCGTTAGTTTTTGTAATACATCAATATAAATGGTCCTGCTGTAATAGCTAGTTTCATTTCAATACTTAACTCAATAAGAGTGAAAAAGGAAGGCTTTATATGAATCCTTGAGCAACCAGCTGAGAATGGGAATAAAATTTGCTAGTGTTGGTAAATAGATGGGTCAGTGGGATCCAGATAGGCCAAAGAGGACAGCACAAAGTAGTTGATCAGTACTGCAACGTACACAAGAACAACCCAGACACATGTCGACAACGCGAGTCAGGATTTTCACTAAAGGGGTTCAAAATTTGAATAAGTGAACACACTAATCATACATAAATAATATAATTTTCCGTTGAAGGAGTTTAGATAAACCCCTGACTATAAGCTGGTTCCACCCCTATTCACGATTTAAAATATATTGACTCAATTCACTATCAAATATTTAGTGAAGTTCTTAATATACATACGAAATCTAGGTAAAAATTAATAAATTCACGTGAATTTATATATTATACTGTAGACCCACCCCTATTCCCAAATAGGCAAACATCAAATATAAAATGTGATGGCCACCATAAGGATATATACTTTTAATTATCCATCGCACACACATATACAGCAAGGCAATCGCACGCGCAAAATTGCTTTTGGTTAGTTAATTCAAATTTTCTAAATTTATATACTGCACTAAGTGTCTCTTGCATATCAAGTTGCAAAAATATCATGTTTTAATTGTGTAAAGATTACATAAATCAACTAAAATAAATGGTATAATTTGACCTAATAATGTATAGTAACTTTTTATGCTATCAAATTAAGATGGCCTACTAAGCCTCATATGATACTGAAAAATAAAATTAAAAACCTGCAATAATAATAAGGTAACATAAGAAATAAAATATGAATTAACTAATGATTACTTGGGAAAAGAGTAGGCTATCCTTTATTTAGAATCTATATATATAAATATAGCTAAGTTAGAGAAAAATAACAATCCCAAAGTTACCACCCCAAATTAAGGAATTAAAACCCCACGAGTATTTGTTTTTTTATGGCCTGAAAACACTCCCCCACTTTCCCTTTTCTTGCCCCCACCCTTTACTATAAAGCTAAAGCAAGAAATTTAAAAACACAAACAAGGATATACTCCCCTTCTTTTCCATTTATGTCAACATATTTTGAAAAATATGTAGATAAATATTAAATATGTCATAACATTTGTATCAGAAGCGAAGTCTAGGATAACAAAACCTGATAACTTTGGCCCAACAATAAATAAAATGAGAATAATTCAATATTGATATACGTAAAATTTTGGATAAAACTTCCTCGTTAAAAAATAAAATGAGAAGGTGTAGAAGTATTTGTTTCGACTTTATAAGTATGTTAGACTTTTTAAAACCAACTAAAAAATAAACGTGTCACATAAATCGAAGAAGTAACTAGAGAGGAAAAATAAAAATTTAAAAAGCATCAAAGCAATTGTCAACCCCACAAGTAAGAAACACTACCAAGTAAATATAAGGCTAGTACTTTGGTTGAAAAAGACATTGGTTTATTGAACCTCTTATGAGAAAAGCAAAAACAAGGCTGAAAGCTTCAACAAAGTTTCGTTTTGGTGCTCTCACAAGGAAAGAAGACAGACAAAGCTAGCTACCTAAAAAGAAAGAAAGAAAAAGAAAATCATTGAAAAGGATTTTTATTTTTTTCTTCTTCTTCTTCTTCTTTCTTTATATTATGTGGCTCTTACATTAAAGTAAGAAACAATAATACTATATAATATATGATGTGTTGTTCAGAATAATCCTTCTTGATGGCTGGAAACCCTAGTAATAACTGGTGGAACAACATGTTGATGAACACAAGCATGCATCCACATGATTCTCATGAGCTTTCTTCTTCTACGACGACGACAAATCAACATTTCTATGGATCTTCAAATTTTTTGGCTGATAATAATCCAAGTCAAGATCATTTACCTCGCTCATGGAGCCAGCTACTTCTGTAAAATCTCCTTCTCTCTACTTTTTTTTCTCGTACGTAGTAGTTAGTTATATATACAGTCAACTTGTTTGAGACTGAGGCGCAGTAATTTATGTTGACTTCTTGTTGTTGTAGTTGCTATAGTGAGTTTGTGTAGAGAGCTCAAAGATCAGTAGTCTTTGTATTTGCAATATTCTTTTTGTGTCAAGCTTTACTCATTGAAGCTTTTACATTTACCAAACAATTCAAAAAGCTCAATTACTTTCCTATTTCTAAAAATTTCATACTATGAGTTTTATAGATCGATATGAATATCATAAGTTGTCTCATAGTAAAATCAATTTTGTTGTTGATACCTTCTTCTTTGTCTTTTTTCTATAACTAGAGCTCGAAGAAGTAAAAGAATTTAAACAAATAGAATATGGTTAGAAATTCATAATAGAGTCAGTCCGACCACAACAACGACTAAACCTAGTAGAAAGAAAAAGTGAAAAATCATTACAAAAGAAACCTATAGCTCCTTTATATTTCTTTTCTATCAAATTGGAATCCATATGAATTATGTGTTAATTAATTTTAATTCTCCTCTAAATTACTTTTTCCTTTTTAATTAAATTTCAGGTCTGGATTATCTTGTGATCAAGAAAAACCTGATATAAGTGATCATTTTCAACATCAATACAAGAAGCTGGAGAGTTGGGAAGAAATCCAAAATTTGAATTCCATCCATAATAATAATAATATTCCATCTAATTCAAGTTTTAGGGTTCCTTTTTTTAATGTAAAACCAGAAGAATTACTGAGCCAAGGACTGTATAGTAATTACCATCAAGATTTATCACCAGCTAGCTCTTGTGTTACCACTAATTTAAACCATAATAATATTTTTAACTTCTCATCATCTCCTGCTAATAAAATTACCAACAATAACAAAGTGGTTGAAGTCAAGCATCAAGACCATTCATCTGAGGTAAGTAAAAAAAATTACTTTTAAAAAAGTGGTTTTCATATTTATTGATTTTTCATAGTCAATAAGTACAATATCAGTATTATTCCAAAAGGAAAAAAGTGATTATATGATTAATAAAAGCCAAATAATCCATGATTAGCCTAACTAATTTTAGTCATAGTAAATTTTTAATTACTCAGTGAATTTTAACATGTGATAGTAGTCTAGTTACTATTTTTACTAGGTTACTAATTAAGTACTGTATTTGTTAAGAGATTTACTCGTAATTATCTAATAAGTGATTTGATTTTGTGAAAACATTTTTACATCATTTTAGTATGTTTTGCCTAATCTGTTTCTTTTTTTAAACCATTATTAATTAATATCTTTGCTGCATGAAATAAAGTGTAACAGCACAGACAGTGGTGGGGTAACTAAGAAGGCTAGAGTTCAGCATTCTTCAGCTCAACCCTCTCTCAAGGCAATTCTCTCTTTCATATACAGTAACATGTTTGTCTAGATATTTTTTTTATGGAATAATTACGTGTCTGAATCGTTCAGTAATCTAGTTTACAAAATATATACTAAGTATATATACACAACATATACATTGATAGTGTATATATAATGTATATACTTCAACCATTTTACCATTGGTCGAAGGATATATATTCGTAACTTTCCTTTTTAAGAAAAAAACTATTATAGAAAATATATAATATGAAAATTCGTTTTATGAAAACTTGGTCTCTTTTTTTTTTTTCACCTGGTATCCAAAATAGTTAGTTATCAACATTAATTTAGTTTGTTTATATTCGGAATTGCAGGTGAGAAAAGAGAAACTAGGAGATAGGATAACAGCACTCCACCAACTTGTTTCTCCATTTGGAAAGGTAAAGTAAACTGAGTTTAACTTTATATACACATCTAATTTTTATATTGTCATTATTTTTACATGTTGTTACAACAGGTAACTTGTCTTATTTTTATGGAGACTAATTACGTGTAAATATCATTTAAACGTTGATGTTATGAATAAAATTTACTATATCGATGTATATAAATTCAGTTGAACTCATAATTTTAATTATTTTTTTTTTGAAAACCTACTAAAATTATTATGTAATTTCAAAAGTATAATAAATTTATTGATAAAAATTATAAGAATTTAATCGATTAAATTTAAATCCTACCTCCTTCCCATAAGGAAGACAAGTAAAGAATATTTATGACTGAAACACTATGACTTATAATTTTTTTTGTAGTACTAGTAGTTTATGATGAAACAAATAAAAATGATATTACAAAAACAGCACTTTAATTTTTGTTTAAAAAATAGCCATAAAGGGTTGTCTTTAACTAAAGTGATATATTATGAGAAAAAGAAGAAGTGATAGGCATGGGTATATATGTTTTCTCTTTTACAGACTGACACAGCCTCCGTCTTGTCAGAAGCCATTGGATACATCAGATTCCTTCAGGCACAAATTCAGGTGATTTCACAAAACCTAATTTCTAAATTATTTTACGTACATTTTTTTTATAATTATGGTGTTCGTGTTATCTTGAACATCCTCTTAACCTAATTTCAAAGGGATATTTGTTATTTTCTACCAGCATAGTCACCAAGCAACTCTCTAGAACAAATTTGAATCAATAGAAAGAAATCACCTACTGAAATTTGAAGGATTGATATCAATATGATTCTTAGTGTACTTCATTAACCATTGTTTTCGCTTCTTACTTTATACTCTTATCGTCTCATTTTATGTGGTACTTTTTTCATTTTAGTCTCTCCTAAAAAAAATGACATATTTTTATATTAAGTAACAATGTAATTTTAAAATATACATTTTTTCCTTAATGAAATGATTTGTATCCACAAAAATATCTATCACTTATGTTAAACCACGAATTTCATAGTTATTCATTCCTTTCTTAAACTCTGTATCGAGTCAAACTAACTTATATAAAATGAGACGGAAGGAGTTGGACATATATGCAGCTTTAATCTAGTGTGGTGCACTAAAACATGCAGGCATTGAGCTCTCCATACATGGGCAATGTAGCAGGAAGCATGAATCACACTCAACAACAATCTGCTGTAAGTTCTTTTCCTTCACATTTTCCAATAAAAATCACTAATATTATCTTCTTTCACATCCATCATCATACACGTGCATCTCACTAATTATATATATATATTGGATTAATAATTATCATGAATAACTAATTTCTTTCATGAATTCAAGGAAATAAAATATGTATATACTACTTAGTTGTTTAATTAAGAAGTTGATGCTTTATTGGATCCCTAACAAAAAAAGCAAGCTTTGAGATTGAGGCTATCTTTGCATTATTAGTAGTAAAAAGCAGAATCAAAGTAGTTATCATCAAAATTTACTATTCAAAAAAGAAGTTGTGTCTCTATATATAGTGCAGAAGTTGCCAACTTTATGAGATCACACAATAATTCAATTTCTTGAATGATCCTATGGATAAAATCTTAATTATTATTATTCTCAATAACTTTAAACTCTTGAAATGAGTCCTTTCATATATATATATACCATAGTTTCAAGCTAGAGTTACTGAGTTTTATCGTATTCATAAGCAGAAATGTAGCTCCATCCATTTCATCTTAGTTATTGCATGTTAATTGCTTCCTCTTTTTTTTCAGCACCGTATATATTTATCATTTTGCATCTATTTTCTTATAATATGGTAATTTGGAAATAAAAATATTTCAGGATTTGAGGAGTAGAGGATTGTGCTTGGTTCCTATATCTTGTACACAAGATGTTGGAAGTGACAATAACAATACTGTTGGAGATTATTGGGCCCCAGCTCTTGGAGGAGGAGGATATTTATAATTATTAATTAATGTAACAATTTTAGTGTTCCATAATATACTGATGTGTTGATGATGATGATGGTATTATATATATAACATCAGAAGCAGTCACTCTCAAATAAGTTAGTTAGGGTTGACTGTTGCTGATGCTATATATTATATTTTGCATTTCTAATTAAGTGTAGGAAGGAACAAGGATATAAGTCTTATCGTATGGTCCAATATTGCGATTTTATTTCATGAATAATCATAAAATTGTATAAGCTAGTTTGTAATTGTTGTATATACATTAGAGTTCATTTAGCTTTAACTGATTAAAAAAATATAGTTGATATATGCTAGTGTTTTTGTGTTTGAAGCTGATTTTATACATAAATAATTACGAGTTTAAATAGAAGTGTTGAAAACGGATATAAGCATTTATATTTGATACAACTCTAAGCTAGCCTATAATATAATGACTAACATATATGCGTAGGAATTTAAGTTACTACGATAAAATTGTGTGGTAAACTCATTGAATAGTTTAGAGTTGACTTTTGTGTTTGCTATTTTGAGTTAAATAGAAGTTAAGTACTTAACGCTTTCCCTAATTAACCAGTGAATTAATGATAATTGGATATTAGTAGTAATAATTGGTGTGAAAAATAAAATGTGCATTGGGCTCGTACATCTTTTGTTTGAAAGTAAATTAGGTTAAGCTAGTTTAACTTAATTATTTCAGAAATGTCCTTACAACATATTTACGAATGTATCCCTTTTTTTTATCAACTTATAGTTATATGTATTAATCGTGAACAATAACAAAAACATATTCAGTGAAATTCTACAAGTGATCAAGATTTGAGTATGGTAAAATGTACGTAGACCTTATCCATTCCTCGTAGAGAAGAAAGGTGGTTTCATCAGGACCCTTGATAGTTGATTCAAGTATAACAAATCAAGGAAAGTATGAAAAGATAAAATGATAGTAAAACAATTGTAGACAATAAAATTCGCGTCGAGAAAACAATAATCAAGAACGGAAAATTATAGCAACAATCGTATTTATTATTTCAAAGTGCGAGTGTTACAATCTCTATTATTCCTCTGAATTCGCCTTTTCAAATATAATTCAAGGGCTCTTGAGCTTGATCTAGAACTTGAGATTTATCTCGATCTTGATCTCTATCTTGATCTTGATCTTGAACTTGGACTTGGATTTGGACTTGATTTGGAACTTTCTCTTGATCTTGAACTTGAACTTTATCTTGATCTTGACTTCTAGTTGAATCCAAGGGCTTCGAGCTTGATCTTGAATCCGGCGGTCTTGATCTTGATTGTTCTTGATCTTTATCGTTCTTGATCTTGAATGTTCTTGAAACTTGAATGCTTGAATTCTTGAACTCTTGAACTTGTAGAGAAATCTGCAGCTTTTGACCCACGAGCTTTCTCTAGCTTCTTGTTAAAATTCTTGGTCCTCTTTTCTGAATTATGAGGACCCCTATTTATAGTTTTAAAATAGAGGAGTTGTGTTTAGAAGAGGACTCTCTTCGGCCAATCAGATTTAAGTGACATGGCATATGGGCTTTATGGAGCGGGCTTTAATTAAATTCATATTTATTGAATTTAAATAATTAAATCAATTATATTAATCCATAATATTTATTTGGACTAATATATTCATGAATTTAATATAATCCAAATCATTTAATAAATTTATATTTAAATAAATTTTAAATGATTACAAATGCCCCCTGCTTCAAGGCTTGTCAAAATATTTTATCATTTAAAGACTAGACTTGAAGCATTAATTAAATGGTAATTTATCTGTCATGCCCATGTAATGTTTAATTTAGGCATTGCCCGACTCCAATACATGTAATTGGAGTGGGAATGTGAGTATTTGATCTTATGTGGCTTACCTGCCACTTTTAACCATATATCTAACCAATTATAATCAGGATAGGAGACAAATAAACGCTTGTTACAAGGCAATAGGTAAACCAATTCAACTAGGAGAGTATTTCCGTCAATTACTTTAGCATAGCCCAAAAGGAATTGCAATTGAACTAGGAATTGTAATCCTACTCAATTTCAAGTTCATGTCCCTTTCTATTGTCCTAGCCAAAAAAGAATTGTAATTGAACTAGGAGAAAGATTTTATTCCCATCACATGACATCTATAAATAGACACATTATATCCACAATTTTGTCTTCAATTACAGATTGTGAGCTACGAGCCTGTGACGAAAGAGGCATAATTCAAGGTAGTTTCCCTCCCTTTTTCTGATTTTCGTCACCCTTTTTACAGCTTGACATGTTTGTCGTAGAAAATTCATATCTCATTGTAGAAAAATTGAAATCAAGAACGGTTTGATTTTCCAGAAACTAGACTTCTCGATCTCTAACATATCCAGAATTCGGAATTTAATACCTTCAGAATATTTCTAGATGATTTTTTGAAGTTAGCTTTAAATTCTGTCATGCTGAAAATTGCAGACTTGTGTGGCTTTACTAAAACTCTTGTGTCTTGATGTAGGAACGACGAAATCACAAGCTGCTTGATTATTTAGAATCTAGACACAAAGATCTACGATATATCCGAAATTCAAGGTTTAATACCTTCAGAATCTTTCCAGGTGATTTTTTTGAAGTTAACTTTGAATTCTGTCATGCAGCTGATATTCTTAAGGCGAAAGAGGATAGATACACATCCCCGCCCTAAGAAAGGTAATTTATGGTATTCTTAAGGCGAAAAGAGGATGGATACGCATCCCCGCCCTAAGAAAGGTAATCTAAAGGTATTCTTTTAAGGTGAAAAGAGGATGGATACTCATCCCCGCCCTAAGAAAGGTAATCTAAAGGTATTCTTTAAGGCGAAAAGAGGATGGATACGCATCCCCGCCCTAATAAAGGTAATCTAAAAGTATTCTTTAAGGCGAAAAGAGGATGGATACGCATCCCCGCCCTAAGAAAGGTAATCTAAAGGTATTCTTTAAGGTGAAAAGAGGATGGACACTCATCCCCGCCCTAAGAAAGGTATTCTTTAAGGCGAAAAGAGGATGGATACTCATCCCCGCCCTAAAAAAGGTAATCTAAAGGTATTCTTTAAGGCAAAAAGAGGATGGATACGCATCCCCGCCCTAAGAAAGGTAATCTAAAAGTATTCTTTAAGGCGAAAAGAGGATGGATACACATCCCCGCCCTAAGAAAGGTAATCTAAATGTAGGGAGTGCTACATCTCGCACTTGATTTTGAGCGATTGTCTTTATTGACAGCTTTGAGGGCAAGTTTATTGCATCAATCCGTCTGATAGGAAAAGTTAGTCCTCTTAATGGATCTTCTTGAAGGTTAGATGATTTGACTTCTTCTTTCTTTACTTTTGGAACATAGCGAAGTCCAGAAGTCAGATTCTTCTTTGAAGACATGGTCTTCCCTTCATTGAGATTGGGACAAAGTACTTTAGTGTCAACTTTTACCTTTTCGACAGCTGTATCGATTATTTTGCTTATGATCTTGTCAGACTTGGTTGATTTGACATCATTAGATTTTGTCCCTTTAACAACATAACTCTTCAAGTAGAATTTTGCATCGGCAAAGTGCATCTCAACTTCGGTGAAAGGATTATCGTCTGCAACTATCTTCCTTTCAATCCCGTCTTCAAGATACTTCAAACATTGATAGTAAGAAGATGAGATAATTCTATTCTCATGTACCCAAGGCCTACCAAGTAATATATTGTATGAAGTCTTTGCATCGATCACGTGCATCCACGCGCTTGATCGCAAATCTTCCATGTGAATTTCTAATTTAATAGAGCCTATGGACCTCTGTCCTCCTTGATTAAATCCTTGTATCAACAACCGACTTTCACTAAGTTCTTCGGTCGTGATGCCGAGTTCCTTCAATGTGTGGATAGGCAGGATGTTGACTCCAGATCCTTCATCTATCAAGATTCTATTTATCTTCTTCTCTCGCACGTGACCAACCATATACAAAGGACGATTGTGTAGTGTTTCACCAAACAGAAGATCGTTATCTGTGAATGTGATTTTTGTATCACATGTATAAGCTTCTTGGGAAGAAGGTTCAATAGGCTTTTCAGAAGATGAAGGAGTCATCAGTGCTGAGATTTCCCTTGTTGCTTTTTCTTCGCCACTAGGAGACACTTTTGGTGAGGATTCTCTCGTTGTTCCTTCTTTGTCAGTTGGAAACACCTTCATTGTTTCTTCTTTATCAACATTAAAACATGATGCCCCAACATTTTCTTGAGTAGACTTTGTGCGCAACCAACTTGGTAAGAATTCTTCTAGAGTTACAGGATGTCGGCGTTTCTGGTAGTGATGCACTTCTACCTTCGCCTTCTTTGGGCGCTTGATTGATTTCTGCTTCATCGGTTTCTTCACCATTTTCTTTCTACTCGGTTGCTCACATGATTCTTTTTGTAAGCTTGACTTGTTGCGTCTTCGCCTAGTCACAAAAATCCAGCCTTCATCACCATCTATATCAACTTGAGATTTGTCTAGCTCCAATGACTCTTCTTCATGCTTTTTAGCGATATGTATTTGGATCGGATTGAGCGAGCTGAATGTGATGGAGATTTGATTAGAACTAGCTTTTTCATCATCAAGGACAATCTTCTTTTCTCTAACCAATCGCATCACTTTATCCTTGAAGACAAAACATTTTTCAAGAGGATGACTCACAAGTCTATGATATTTGCAATAATTTGGGTCATCAACTTTTCCAGCTTCATCAGGCCGCTTCATCTCTGGCAACTCAATGAACTTTAATTCAAGCAACTCATCGAAAATATCAGAAACGTCAGAATCCAAGAAGGGGTATTCCTTTTCTTGCATTTCCCTTAGGATTGATTTTTGGTCTGAATTTGTTCTCACACTTTGCTTCTTCCCTTCCTTCGTAGTGAACTTTACAGGTGACACATTAACATTCATTGACTCTTTGTTGTCGTTCTTGGGCACAAATTTGCTCCATCTCTTAGGTTCCTGCTTATCTCTTCCTTTGCGAGGGTCATGGACAAACGTCATATCCTTTCCTGCAGAGGACATGCTCAACTCCATATCATGAGCACGAGTAGCTAGATCTTCAAAGGATTTTGGTTTTATTCCTTGTAAGATATAAAGAAGCTCCCAGTGCATCCATTGGATACACATTTCTATTGCAGAAGCTTCATTAAGCCTATCCTTGCAATTCAGGCTCGCGTTCCTCCATCGATTTATGAAGTCTATGGCTGGTTCATCCTTCCTTTGGCGAGTATTCGTA